CCCCAAAACCCCAAAACCCCAAAACCCCAAAATAAAAAATAATTATTGAAAGATGAATACTCTCCTACTGCCAAGCTTCAGTACCCATATCTTCTCTTACTACGGCTATCTACACGAATGTTTTGTTATAATGAATTCCCTCTGCAAACTCTCTCGTAAGAGCTTGCATGACTTCTCAAATGGATTTATCAAAACAGTCAAGTCCCTCCCCTCAGAAATTATCGGTTTCAGTGACAAGATTACCATAAACAGGCCCTAGCCCCCTTCCACCCCTTTCTGTTACCTTTGTTAAGTTCTGTAAGCCGTTTGTCCAATTCATGCTTCTAAAAGTCACGCTCAAAAATCCATTCCAGATCCAATGGTTCATTACATTCTGCAAAGAGTTATTTACCCAAGAAGGAATTTTACAAACTGAAGAAGAGCAGAAAGGCATTGATGAGGAATTTTGAGAGAAAGAATATACTCAAAGCAAATATTTAAGGCTGGCAAAGCTTAACCTGAAGGGCAAGAATAAAGGAGAACTGGTGCAGCTGCTGCAAAAGTATAAGAAAGAGATCTTTGAGTATCCTTATGATGTGGTGTTTCCACAGAGTTGTTACTCTCAAGAACTTAATCTAAATTCGTCCATTAGGATGAGTTTTTATCAAGATATGGTTAAGGTCCCAGATTTTTTAAAAGAAGAAAAATGAATCAAAATGTTTGATTTCTCAATTTTCTCTGTATCTAACTTTATTTCTGCGATTGATGAGTGTAAATTAACTGCTAGGGAAGTTATTCTGAAGATAAAATACCCAGCAAACAGTTTACCTCTTGAAACCTTCCTGACCACGAATTACTTGATGTTTAGAGAGACCAAGAAGTTCTCCCTCTTGTTTGAGAAAACAGTAGCTTCAGGAGGCAGCACTCGATGCTTGTAGGGACCTGTTTTGCTACTTGATGAAGCATTTCCTGCACTTGAAGAGCTGACATTACTGGTGTTTAGGAATGATAGAATGAAGCATATCTTTAATTTCTTTGTTGCTCATCCAATTAATGATATAAAAGATATCAGACCTAAATTTAGAGGGATAAATATTTTTATGAAGAAGTATAAGCGAGAAGTAGATGAATCTAAGTTTAAATTGACGAAAGCTGAAGTTCTGGAAGATCCAAGCGGGCCTTTTGAATGTACAGGTAACAATAATAAATAATCCAGAATTTCGTAGTTTTGCCAACTTATGGTTTTGCCAAGATATTATATACCTAAGAGTGAAATATCTTTACCACTAGCTCATAATGCTTATAGAAATACTTGTCATACTCAAAATTGATACATTTTTGCTTCAATACAGGATAAAAAGCGACACTAAGATAGAAGTCGACAGCAAGGCAATTCTTTACCGTAAGTATCACACCCTCTCACTCTACATAGAAGATGATTTCACCATCATGACTATCCTGCCTTCCTACATAAAAATCCCAGATTTAGCCAGTATCAAGAACGAAGAGACATCAATTTCTGAAGAATTTGATAAATTTCCTTCCAGTCTATTCATCCAAATCCCAAAAGAGAGCCTCATGAATGCCAAAACCAGCCTAGATCCCCTCTAAAGGCCCCTTAGAGGGTTTCAGCATTCTTTTGGAGATTTGGAGTTTTAGTGGATGTTTTCAATCTGAAATTTAGAATTTGGGGTTTTGGGGTTTTGGGGTTTTGGGGTTTTGGGGTTTTGGGG